AAGAGGGGAAGGAGTCATTGTCAGGCGAGTTAGTAGTTTTACTACCATGGGAAAGCCCTCAACTCAGCCCAAGCCGATCCCGACCTTACCTGGGAAAGATCGCCATTCTCCTTTAGCACTTCATCAGTAAGACCCTCGAACTGGGTCTTTTCGCGAGGCTTGCCGCGGCCAGGACCTTCTTGGCTGAGCTCAGGAGTGAGCTCGGAGTCCGAAAACCTGCTGCCCATGTTAACCTGCCAGAAAATAAAACTAATTGCTTTTGTAGCGGTGGTCATGAACAGAGACAAGCGGCGGCTAAACAAGGCAGGAAGCGTGATGAAGGCGGGGACACCGTGACGGCCTTCGTCCGGATCCCGGTCATTAACTGAAAGCATCCTTGGACGCCTCTCACACATTCCTGGCACCTAATCTCGCAAACCTCTGTTAAAGGATACTGTAGCGCTGTTGGAAAACATATGAGAATCGTTTGACATCCGCTTGATCACCGTCCCGTCAACCTTTCGGCCACAGTTAACCTCCATAACCCAACGATAGGCATTTTCCTTAAAATAATAATAGCATACACACAGATACTGATGTCGGCCATCAACACAGAGGGCGAGCTGGTACTGGTCGGGGAGGCGGGTCCCGTAATTCCCTATCAGGAAAGTAAAAGCAAACGCCTGTGCACGGCGATCAACAACGGAACGCTCATGCAACTTATTGGGGAATACGCGGAAGTCGACTGCAACATAATCTCAGAGGTAGGGCAACAGCAACTGCAACCTTATGGACTACCTGCGTCCTGATCGGGCACCTTACTTACCGTCATTCTCGCTTGATGAATTTGCTACTCCCCTTGAAGAGTCCTGATGTTTGCATTGATTCAGGCCTCGGATACATGCCTGAACGGCATTATGGTGCCAAGGGACTCGGCCTACATCCAAAAGGCCGCAAGACAGCTGGTACAGCTCTGTGAGCACAGTGACCACAAACTCTCTGTGCACCGTGACACGATCAGTCGCTTGCTGCGTGGTGTTAAGTGGGTCAAGCGCGGACCGGCTCTGCAGGCGGCCCTACAAGTCCTCTTCAAGTTGGCGGCTGATGAGTACTGGCAGCGGGAGCTGGTAAGGAATGATGAAGTCTGCGTGCATGGGATGCATGTGAATATTAGGTTTGCTGCTGAGGATACGAGTAGTTGGGAGATGGATAGCTGCTGTTCTAGTCGCTATGGTTAGTAGTAGCCGCCGCCTCCTGGCGTTTATGCATAAACCGCAAAAGACCCGTCCATACTCTGCCTATCCGAAGCTTGCCGCTTTGTGTTTCGCCAAAATATACTCACCTGCGACCTATCGTTCCTCAACGCGTTCCGACACTGCTTTATGCATGCGCAGGTGGGCCCTCAGACCCTGCAAGACGCCGTCAATCGCTGCATGGACCTAATCAAAGGGGTGTTGCAATCCAGTGTTTCCACGGCAGACGCGGCTGCTGCCACGGGCATTACAAGCCCTGGCGGCGCTGCAGACGCCTCTGCAACGAGCGCCGCTGCGGCAGGCAGCAGCCGGTGTTCTCCTGCTGACCTAGCCATGGCGGAGGCGGCTTGCGAGGTGCTCCTGCAACCCCTGGCCCAGCAGCTCCTAACTGACGAGCAGTTGACACTCGCCGCAGCGGCACAGGCCGTCCTGCTGCGGCGACTCCCCGGCGGCAGTGGTCTCGCCTTACGTGCCCTCGCCGAGCTCTTCTCAATGGCGAAGGCAAGGGGCAGCAGCGGCAGCAGAGGGCTTAATGAGGCTGCGGCGGCGGATGAGGAGGATACCATGGGATCATCCTTGGAAGAGAATGAGGAACGAGCAGAGGAGGAAGGAATGGAGTCCATCGCGCCGACGGAAAAGGAGCTGCCGCCGGCGCCACCGACGCCGCCGCTGCAGCTCAAATTGGGTTCCGCTAGCGGTGGCGGCGGCGGTGAGGTGTCAATTCTGCAACGCCGTGTCGGTGCTGCCGTACTGCGCGCTGGCGGAATGGAGGCCCTTCTCGCAGTCATGCAGACCTCCATGCAAGTCGAGCTTGTGTCGTACATCGAAGGTGGCGGCGGTGGCAACAACGCCGCCGGTGGAGGCGCTAACACGTTTTGTGCCGCTGCTGCTCCTAGCGGCGGCGTCCCTGCTCCACCGTACCCGCCTCGTGCTGTCAGCGAGGATATCAGCATTGAAGACATCCGTGCCCTGGCGCTTGCAAACTTCCTGGAGTTGCTTACCGCATGTGGGCCGGCTGTGCAAGCTGATGTTAGTGACGGCGGCGACAGGGGCGGCGTGGAGTCATCTATAGCAGCGGAACTTGCTAATGCATGCGCGGCGGTTGAAAGCAGCAGCGACCACCGCGGCAGCAGCATACTCCTTCAACTGCTACAAGTTCTGGCCTCTGCTGGAGTTCAGCAGTCACCATCATCATCAACTCCACCACCTGCAACTGCTGGGCTCGACGGCTCTCAGCAGCTTCCACTGCACAGCCAGGCGCTGCTGGCGGCGCTACTGTACGGTACCTCGGCTCGGGCGGCGAAGCGGGGCCTTCTGCAGAGCGTTTCAAGTCATAACGAGCAGAACAGGGAGGCTTGCGACGCGGTCGTGGTAGCGGCAGGCCAGCTGCTGCGTCAGCGGGACGTGCTGCTGCCGGTTGCTTGGGTGGAACTGCTGCTTCAAATGTGGCGGGCCGTCAGCTACGCACCAGACCAGGAGGGCCCTCGTCCTGCAGGAGACCCCATGAGCGGGCTTCAGGCGCTGGTGACCCAATCGCCGGAGGTGCTGTGTTTGGCCCTGGCCGTCATCGTCGGTCCCCACCGCATGCCTCGCATGAACCCGAGCGGGGAGCAAGACGGCGGCTGGGAGCGTGTACGGCATCTCGTCACCGCCGGAGCGGCAGGAGCCGAGCATGAGGACCTTCTGTTTGCTGCCGTACAAGTGCTTCTGCCGGCAATGAAGGGCGTCCTTCAGGCGTCAACACTACCGCGGCATAAGCAGCAGGAACAGCAGCAACAGCAGCTGGAGCAGCTACTGCCGCCCTGGGCTATGGCGCTACTGGTTGAAGTGCCTGCAGCTCTGGCACGCCGTGCTTGCGTGGGCAGCGGCGGTGAGGCTGACGAGGAGGCGCGGGGCATTGCGTTCAGGGCCCCGGTGTCACTGGCAGTGCTGCAGCTAATGGCTACCACGATTGATGCTCTGGAGCCGGTGCTCAAGGGAGATGCTGGCCGTCGGAAGGAGTTGTGCAGGTGGGTGTGTGGGAATGCGCTGTAGGTGCAATGTAACCCGGCACAGCTTACCCGGTACTCTGTACCGCTCGCTCATCGGCTAACTTGCATACGTTGCTTGGGTGGCCGCAAGGGCCCTTACCAACCCACCGTGTTGTGTTAATGTCTTAGAGGAATGACTGATCAGTACCCGCCCCAGCCATGGCCACTGCCCCGCGCTATGGAATTTGGCATGCGCAGGCTTCTGACGTCACTGCCACGCGTCGTCCGGGAGGCGTACTCCTTCTCCACCTCCCAGGACGGCCTCAAGCCGCTTGCATGGCTCAATCAAGTCACCCGCCAAGTCACGGAGGCCGCACTGACGCTTCTCACAGCAGGGCACGGGCCAGTAGCCAACCTCGGCAGCGATGACGACGGAGCTCCCCAGGAAGATTTCGACCAGCAAAGCCCAGCCGCGGCTGAGGAGGGCATCGGCGACGATGGTAGTCCTCATGCAACCGTTGACGAGGAGGGCAACTGGGCGTTGGTGCTTGGGGACGCGATGGGGCTAGTTGCGACGGCACTACGGGCTGCCGCTCAGGAAGCAGCATCTGCGGCCATGCGGCCGCCTGAGGAGCAGCTGGAGGGACTGGTGTGTGCCTTGAGCACTGCCAGCCGGCTGGTGGACGGGGCACAGCAGTTGATGGCGCGTCATGCGGTGGCTACTGTGGCATCGAGGCTGGTCGAGCGGTTGAACAGCGCCAAGGCTGCTACGGCGGGGTTGCTATGCCCTGCCGTAGCGGGGCTGCTGTGCGGCGATAGGCAGCGGGAGGAGCAGCAGCAGGAGGGAGGAATGCAGGCGTCGCAGCAGGCCCAGCAGCAAGAGCCGCACGTAAGGCCGCAGCAGGCACGGCGCCAGCCGGAGCTGCTGCTAGCCGCACTGCAGGCGATGGCGAAGGCGGATAGCGCGCTGGCCGGCTTTGAGGGGGTGAGTTGCGCAACTGGCTTGCCGTACGTGTGAAGGCTGCGGTGGACACAGTGCTGAAACCTGAAAGGGCAGGTGTCATGGTTCCGTACGCATCACAGAAGGCGGGCATGTGAACTGTCACCTAGCCTCCCGTTTTGCATTGTTCACGCTTACCAGTGCAACCTACGGTTTGCTTATTGTCGTACCCCGTCCCTCCTTGTAATCATCTTGCAGGCCCGTAGGAAGTATTTGGGCACCAGACTCCAAGGTGTGCACCCGACAGCTGCACAGACTTTCCTGTCGCAGGAGGCGGCAACTCCGCAGCAGTTGCAGCCCCCTGCTGGGTGCTCATCCAACACCGGCAACGTGGGCTCGGCCACCTCCGGTTCACATGCCCCAGCTGCAATTCCAGGTGCAGCTGAAGGAAGCCCCTCACAGCAGTCGACCGAGCTGTACCCCTCCGGCTCTGCGCCTGGCGGCCGGACAAAGCACGCCCGACAGGAGGCAAAGAAAGTGCGGAACACGCCCAAGGTACGTAGGCCCTGTGCCATAGTACTCTGTCCGGGAATGGAACGGAGAAGTGCATTGCTACTTCAAAGGCAACGTACATAACTGTGCCATCGTTCGAAGGCTGTTGCACATCGCTCACGAAAGGGACGCCTGTTTGTCTTCACCCCCGTGCCCCAGGATGCCAACACATCAGAGGCTAGGCGGAAGAAGATCAAGATTAAGAAGGAACAGCAGAATGCCTAGTCTGTTGTTGCAACCATTTGCATGCTTGCACGGCTTATGCTGCGGTTGTTTGGCGTATAGATTAGAGACGCTGACAAAATTGCCTGATCGTACTGAGATATGTTACATGACCGTCATTGCACGGCGGGCCGACATGGCCAAGCAAGGCCGATAGTCTGGTACGAGGACTAAATAGCCGTCTGCGGCGCAGCCGTACCCCAGTTGAACGATTCCCACAATGCGTGGGGCAACACCAGAACAAACCTATGCTGTCCGTTTACCTGTTCTGCCTACCTAACATTTGTAAAACACGCCGGTGCCTTCCCTATCTTGATTGCACGCGTCCTAGGTCATGGTCAGTCAAATGCGGTCAAGTGGTAAAACTGTCATGGTAAAAGATATAGCCTGCACCGAGAAGATACCTACAACACCACCGCAATGGCGGTAGACCTCATCCGAACCGCTCCTGCCATACGTGAGTGCAGAACACGGGCCAACGGCAAACCCCTCATGACACACGGGTAAAGTGGAACTTACTACCCCATGAGGCCAGTTGATAGGGAAAAGACTAAAAGTAGTGAAAAGTGGCATGCGCAAGCCGTCTGCCCCTAGTCCCACGGGTCACACATACACGTCAAACTGCCATACATCACAGAACAGGTCCCAGTCATGAAGCGTCAGGGATTGCTGCATAGCGCTCCTTCCCCTACGATTCCCCAGCGTTTACGACCCGCACATGAGGCAAGCATCCTTGTTCTCGAGGCTGCAAACCATCGCCGCGAGCTGCTGTTCCCGCTCCAGCTGTGCAAGCTGTGCGGCGCGGCGCTCATTGGCGGCGGCAATGGCAGCGGCGCCGCCTTGCACAGCCGGCGTGGTGGCGGTGGAGGGAATGGTGGAGGCGGCGTTGGTGATGTTGGGCGTAGCGGCGCCCGCAGGCAGCTTGTGGGAGGCGAGGGTGATGGGCGTCTGGGCGCTCTTCTTCTTGGCGAGGGCCTGCTGGTCCACCGTGAACTTGATGGCGTCGGCGGCAGCCCTGCAGAGGGGTGGGGAAAGGAGCACATGGTTACACGGAGACGACATGGGGGCCAGCAGAAGTGTCTAGGTAGAATGGGAATACAAGACAGCAAAACGCTGAGCATGCTACCCATTCTAGAGCTTACTTGGTGCGGAGGTAGTACATGCCGGTCTTGAGGCCCTTGCGCCAGGCGTAGAAGTGCAGCGAGGTAAGCTTGCCAAAGTTGGGGTCGGGCATGAAGACGTTGAACGACTGCGACTGGTCAATGTAGGCTCCGCGGTCCGCAGCCATGTCCACCAGCGTGCGCTGCTTGATCTCCCACACCGTCTTGTACAGCGCCTTGAGCTCCACGGGAATGTCCAGCTCTTGCACGCTGCCGTTGGCCGCCACCTGGACACAAAGACACAGGGACAGCATGCACGCCTTGTCATTACCGGTATAGCGCACTAGGTTCGACAAAGGCCGCGATAGTGCAATTAATGCATGCATTGCACAAACGTTGACAGCCCAGCAATCATGCAAATGGTAGACAGTGCTACACTGAAGGTATATCCAACCCACCAGCTCGTTCTTCAGGTCGGGGCTCCAGTAGCCGAGCTTGTTCAGGTCGTGCAGCAGGTGCTGGTTCACGACCGTGAACTCGCCCGACAGCACGCGGCGCACGTAAATGTTGGACGTGTAGGGCTCGAAGCACTCGTTGTTGCCCAGGATCTGGGAGGTGGAGGCAGTGGGCATGGGCGCCACCAGAAGGCTGTTGCGGACGCCGTGGCGGGTGATGCGGTCACGGAGAGCTGCCCAGTCCAGCCTGTAAGCAAACAACAAACCAGTTAATGTAAGGATCCTAAGGTGGCCGTCCACAATGCTTCAACAGGGCAGACTGCACGCAACAATGCATGAGGTGTGTTGCTGCAGGAGCACAGGTGTATCAAACTAGGAGCCAAAGGACCTACTTTCCGTTGAGGCCGGTGGGCTTAACGTCCCACATGTCGGGCTGCAGGATGCCCTTGCTGACGGGTGAGCCCTCGTACGTCTCGTAGGTGCCCTCCACCTCCGCAAGCTCGCACGAGGCCGACAGCGCAGCGTAGTAGATCACCTCGAAGACCTGCTGGTTGAGCTCGGCGGCCTCGGGCGAGTCGAAGGGCATGCCGAGGAGGAGGAAGGTATCCGCCAGGCCCTGTACAAGTGAAGCAGCAAAACGTGCCTTACTGACTCGACATGGCATATGATGCCAGAATTGAAGCTGTTACAGTGCAAAGGGTCGGCCGTGGCGCACTAGAACCCTAGAGATTGCCTATCAAAACCAATGTGGCTGGTGCACCAGGGGCAGAGAGCAGTCGCACTCACCTGGACGCCCAGACCAATGGGGCGGTGGCGCATGTTGGAGTTGCGGCACTTGGGATGCGGGTAGTAGTTGACGTCGATGATCTTGTTCAGGTTGCGGGTCGTCATCTGGAGCACAGGAAACAGGCATGTCACCAACAAGGGGTTCCATAGTAAAGAGCATGAGAGGACAGCGTTCCTCATGTGACCCTGTTCGAGCCTCTGCAATGCGGCAACAGAGGGGATGCTGCATGTCTTGGACCAGACACTCCAATTCTACCGAACCACATGCAACCTGCTCACCCGGGTGATCTCGGCGAGCTTGTCAAAGTCAAAGTAGCGGTTGGCGGCGTCCAGGCTGCCCACCAGCTTCTTGGACTCCCAGCCGAGCTGGCTGCCGCGCTCGCGGACGAAGCGGGGCAGCGCAATGGAGGCCAGGTTGCACACGGCAATCTCGTCCGGGCTGCAGGGCAAATTGGGCACGAGGGAAAACAAGGTGAGGAGTAATTGGATTGAGCAGCTAATCCGTCACCCATCCTGAACATAAACACGGCATAACCTTCCAGTTCCAGAACCAGTAAAAGGCAGCATCCTCACACACCCGCCCCTTACCCGGTGTACTCGATAATCTCCGTGCAGAGGTTAGAGCACTTGATCGTTCCCAGGTTCTGCTGGTTGGACTTGCGGTTGCACGAGTCCTTGAACAGCATGTACGGGTTGCCCGTCTCCACCTGGGCCTCCAGGATGGCAAACCAGAGCTGCTGCGCGCGAACCACCTTGCGCGCGCGGCCGTCCTGCTCGTACTGCGTGTACAGCCGCTCAAAGTCGGCGCCCCAGCAGTCAGCAAGGCCGGGGGCCTCGTTGGGGCAGAAGAGGCTCCACTCCTTGTCCGCCTCGACACGCTGCGAGGGGGAGATAAACGGAAAATTTACGTCAACGCTTTGCACTGCTAGGTTTTTGGAACTCCTTCCAAGGTTGGTTTGTAGCATCATCCAAAATCCGTAAATGGTGAAACCCGAGCCTGCTTCAACGCCGCCGTCCTCACCTCCATGAACAGGTCCGGCACCCAGAGGCCGTAAAACAGGTCACGGGCGCGCGCCTCCTCCTTGCCGTGGTTCTTGCGGAGGTCCAGGAAGTCAAACACGTCCGCGTGCCAGGGCTCCATGTAGATGGCAAAGGCGCCCTTGCGCTTGCCGCCGCCCTGGTCCACGTACCTGGGAGTGGTATTGGTTGAGATGTCAAGGAAAGATGTCGAGATGTGCCATGGGAAACATATCGAGGACTGCTATGACGTGTCGCATCCTTGAGAAATACGTTGCAACGAGGAGAGGGGATGCATGCGTGCCATTCGTACTAGGGAGCTAGGTATTGCTAGCTAGCCAGGTAAGCAAGCAACCCCGTAGGCAAACGCTATCCTAAGCTCTTACCGGGCAGTGTCGTTGAAGACACGCAGCATGGGCACAATGCCGTTTGAGGTGCCGTTGGTGCCGCGGATGTACGAACCGGTGGCGCGAATGTTGTGGATCGACAGACCAATGCCACCCGCGCTCTTGGAAATGACGGCACACTCCTGTAAGCCAGTAGTTCAGGCACACAATAGTTATATACTATACCTACTATGCCATATGCTTGCTTTACTCTATGTCCCTTGCACGCCGCATGCTTCCAGGCCGCATGCACACCGCATGCCCGCCTACCTTGAGGGTGTCGTAGATGCCGTCAATCGAGTCATCCCGCATGGCCAACAGGAAGCAGCTGCTCAGCTGCGGGCGCGGGGTGCCGCCGTTAAACAGCGTGGGCGAGGCGTGCGTGAACCAGCGCTCCGACATCGAGTGGTACGTCTGGATGGCGGAGTCAATGTCCTCCTGCGGGTTTATTAGAGGGTTTAGGACGGCAGGGCAGCATGTGAGTAGGACAGTTAGGAACGGAGCTTAGCCGATAGGCGTAGTGACAAGCACCAGGGGCATGTATCGTTACAGAGAGGGCAGTGTAATGTAGTAAACGGCCCGAGGCATACCTTGTGGATGCCGATGGACACGCGCATGAGCATGTGCTGGGGGCGCTCCACCACACGGCCGTCAATGCGGAGGAGGTACGACCGCTCGAGGGTCTTGAAGCCAAAGTAGTCGTAGTCGAAATCACGGTCGTACCGGATCTCGCTGTTAAGGCGTTCGGCGTTCTGTGGGTGGGTTGCGTGTGCCGGAGAAAACAGGGGTTCACAAAGTAACCCATGAACGTTTGGTGGGCAGCATGGAGGACACGGCAGAGTGAATGCGGACAAGGGGGTAGTGTGCATTGGAATTCCGGTTAGGTAGTGGTACTAGTAAGCGGGAGGATGACGTACCGCCATGATAATCTCGTAGACGTCCTTCGCGATCAGAGACGCCTCGTCGCCATTGCGGGGGTTCTTGTAGTTGAACAACTTTGTCATCCTGCAGAGGTCAAACGGGTTTACGAAGAGGACGTGAACCAGGCAAGTCGTTGGGAAAGGATATATTGCATGGTCACAATACAAAAATGGTCTCACAAGTGTATGGGTAAGAAGGTTGGCTAGGTAAAGATGCACCCCTGACGAACCCCAAGACTAGGCCAAGCACGTGTTGGCCAGCCCCGCGAGGAAAAAATGATAGTGTGTTAAAGTCTTGCATATGAGGCTTACGTGTCGCTGAATGACTTGAGAGTGTTCTTGTGGAGGTTGGAAACAGCAATGCGAGCGGCGAGCTGCAAGCGCGGGAAGGCCGGATCGGGAAAGGCCGCGGTTATGTAAGGTACTCAAGCCATTATAGCAAGCATTCACCATTCAGTGCAAGTTCTTATGCCCCAAGGACAAGGACTCACAATGGCGTAGTCCGGGTGAGTGGATGTGAGGGCAGCAGCTGTCTCAGCAGCAAGCTCGTCAAGCTCCGACGTCGTGACGCCCTTGTAGACTCCACCGGCGACCTTCTGGGCAACCAGAACCTGTGCCCGATGTCCATAGTTGTAAGCACTGCGCGGGAGACTCGCGACAGCGCGGGCAGACAGCGGGACGCTAACTTACAGCATCACAGAAGTCCGGATTCAAGCCATATGCAAGCTTGACAATGCGAGCTGTAATCTTGTCAAACATGACTGGCTCCTGTCGGCCATTGCGCTTGACAACGTACATAGAGGTCATTTTCAAAAGTTATGCGGCGTCAGGCAAAAGGACAGAGCTAAAGTTGGCTTGACTGCTGGCCTTCGCGGAGTTACTACTATGTGCGTAGCGAAATAGAAGAGCTACGTTTAGAGAGCGACTCAGCTTGGGCGAACGCAGCGACAGCCACCCTTATCCTTAGTTTCCACTAAACAAAATTTAGTTCAGCTACTTAGAATGGTGAACCAGTGGGACTGTATGCACTAAGTGGCCGAATTTGGCGCCTCTTGAATTCCGTACACATTGGGCCCGCAAGCTGAAGAAGCATGCACTACCTGGGCCTCACCAAAACCGCCTACGCGCAACCGTTGTCTGTAGTGTTCCTTAATCGGCCCCACTGCTGCTTGAATTTGTTTCCGCCCAAAAAACTTCTGGAGAGTTGCCAGCTGTTATTAAGCGTCGCCAATTGCTTAATTTATATACCGATTTCACATCCACTAGTAACTGTTGATAGGATATGTTGTAATGAGGCATATACATGAAACACTGGTGTTGCTGCTTTTATTGGCACCGCTTAGTACCGTAGCCGGAGGCGATGACGTCGCTGGGCCCATTGTTAAGCTTGTCGACCTTCAAGCGAAGCAAGATAATGGAACGGCAAAGGACACGAGTTCCAGCGGCAGTAAGCCAGAAACCATTGCACAGTATTTAGACGCTGCACTACAGAAGGAGTTTACGAAGGAAACTAGCGAGGATGCGAAAGGTGGAGCTAACTTCAATGCAACGGTCCAACAAGAGGAGGTGCGCTTACCGACTGGCGAAACTCGAACGGCCATTATTGAGCTTCAGCGCGTGACATAAGTGCAAGATGTGCCTCACATTTCCATACAATTGTTTAAGCGCATGCAGGTCGTCTATGGGTAAGCTTGCAACTGCTGCCATGCATACCCCACGGCAGTTTTGCGTGAAGGGCCTGCCTGCCCGTTTCTTCTTTTATCGGGCGTGCTCCTCTAGCTGCCACCGGTGTCCATGTCTATAGCCCCACTCACCACGCCCCTGTAGGCCAAGCTAGAAACAGTAGTGCGGATCACGGGCAAAACCACAGCGGTCCAGCAAGTCACGGCCGCGACCACAAACGGGACAGACAGCGCCACCGAAGATGCCAAAACCGGCGGCGGAAGCGGAAGCAGCGCCAGTGGCGGCGAAACCGCTACGGCCACAGGCGCCACCGCCAGCAATAGTACGAAAAGCGCAGCACCTGAAGCAGACGCAGCCGCTGCTGCTGCCGCTGCCACCGCAACATCCTCTGCTAGCGAGGTCGACCGCATCATTGACTCCCAGGATAATGAGTTTGTGCTGTCGAAGCCGAGTGAGAGTGTGGCCTCACTCACACTGGACCAGCAGCTCATCATGGACATTGCGGTGCTGCTGGTGGCGGCGGCGGTGAGGAGGGAGGGGCATGGAGGATGGGGGTGTATAGGGTAGTAAAGAAGGACCTGAAGTTTTCAGGGATGGCCACGGACGATGGTATGAATGGTGGGCTAGGAAGGGAGAGGCGCCTTGGTGGCGGCAAGCTACAAAGAGAGGGAGCGGGAAAGGACCAGGAAGGGCACCTAGCGAGGGACCTCGTAGCAGCGGGGCTGGCGGTTGGCCGTTGAGCACAAGGGCGACGGCACCGCATGCGCGGAGTCCCTCGCTGTGAGCTCATGCCGCTTCTCTGGCCTAATGCTGTGTTCCCTGCTGCATTCCCTGCAGTTGTTCGGCAGCCTGTTTGAGGCGGTACGGCAGCCGGTCATCAACGGGTACCTGATTGGCGGGGCTGTGGTGGGGCCGGGGGGGCTGAACATGATCAAGGTGAGGAGGAGAGGAAGAGGAGAGGGGTGCCAGTAGGAGGAGCCAGGAGAGGGTCTAGGGCGCGGGACGTGGGCGTGGTCAGGAATAATCTAGGGGAAGGCGCGTGGCGTGGTGGTGGCTCTGGCTCTTGCAACTGTAGCGGTGGACAATCAGTCGCCCCTTCCTTCTCCTGCTTCTTACCCGGATCCCCTTCACTACTTCCTCGCCTCGCCTCGTCCCACCTCTCCTCGCCTCCCCACCTCTCAGGAGCTGGTGCAGGTGGAGTCGCTCGCCCAGCTGGGGGTGCAGCTGCTGCTGTTCGGGTTGGGGCTGGAGCTCTCGCTGGGGAAGCTGAGGGCGGTGTGGGGCGTGGCGGTCATGGGTGAGTCATGAGTCGCGACTCCACACAACATGGGTCTGTAGTGCGGTACTCCCTAGCTACCAGTAGCTATGTTAGAATGTAACTAGCTAGGTCTTTGGGCGAAGACGGAGGTCTGTCCTGCTGGCGCCTTTCTGGGCACCTAGACGCTTTAAACCTCCTGTCCCCCACTTGCCGCCTCTCTCCGCTCTGACCCTCCCCTCCCCCATCTGTCTCCTCCGCAGGCGGCTTCCTGCAGATTGTGTTGTTGGCGCTGGTGGGGGGGCTGGTGGCGGCAGCAGCGGGGGCGCCACCGGGGCAGGTAGGGGTGCGGGGGTGCGGGGCCATGGATGCGGCGGGAGAGACTGCGGAGCCGGCCAGACACAGCATCATTCCCATGGATGCCTTGCGCATGCATGGTGGTGCCAACACGGGATGCGCTGCTGCTACCACCGCAGCAATGCGCCCCGTCTCCAGCTCCCCACCTGAGAGTGCTGCTCCGCTTATCTCTCTGCCCCCGCCCTACCTCTCTGCCCCCGCCCTACCTCTCTGCCCCCGCCCTACATCTCTGCCAACCCCCCCCCCAGGGTATCTTTGTAGGCGCGCTGCTGTCCATGAGCAGTACGGCAGTGGTGGTCAAGTGCCTGGAGGTGATGCGGTCCGGCAGCTCGGCGTACGGACAGATCACCGTGGGGACGCTGCTGCTGCAGGTATGGAGCGGGTAGGGGGGTGTAATGTACGGGAGAACCCCGCACTCCTGTGTGGTACTTGGTGATGTGGCCTGTCGTGCGTACCTGCCCATATGTGCACTTATTTTGTGGACCCCTTGCGAGGTGGCTCACATTGTGAATGTGCCTAGTCCCTCGCACCGGCTTTACCCACGTGCCGACCCCTCTCCCCCCTAACAGGACTGTATGGTGGGCCTCATGTTTGCTCTGCTGCCGGTGTTCCAAGGAGTCCCGGCGGCGCCACCCAGCGGGCTAGGTGGGTATACAGCTGCCCCTGCCTTCACACTTTCTTGGAAATACACCATCTTGTGCTTCTCTCTGGCGTGCGCTCGCTCCGTCTTATTGAAATTGGCTTCGAACAATCAGCTTCATTTGCAACGAAGTCGATCTCAACGGCCTCCGGGGCCTTCCTCCAGCTGATCCTTTTGCTGTGATATCATTACCGCGTATGTGCCTGGTGGTTTCCGGTCTGTCTGCCCGCTGCCCGCAGCTGCCGATGCGGACGCCGCGGAGGCCAAGGGGCGAGTGGTGCTGATGGTGCTGTCGGTGCTGCTCAAACTCAGCTTAGCGGTGGCAGCAGCGCTGGCGGTCGCCAAGACGCTGCTGCCGCCGCTGCTGCGACTCATGCAGCGACAGGTGAGGAGGAGGACTAGTCGGTGCAGGGCAGCGTGTGAAGTTGGGGGGACAAAGGCCGTGCCGTGTGAGCAAGTTGGGGTAGGGCACGCTCGGAGGACCACACATGGGCATCCTTGCAGGCATCTCCAACGTGCAGATGACAAGACTCCCACCGCACTAGTACTGCCCACGCAAAGTCAGCGCCGCCATCCCTCAGCGCTCACGATGTCAAACAAGCTCCTACCCCCCCGGTGCACCACAGGCCTCCCGCGAGCTCATTCAGCTCACCCTGGTTGCCTTCTGCTGCGGCATCTCGTGCTTCAGCCACACCATGGGGCTATCCAGCGAACTAGGCGCCTTTGTGGCCGGAGTCATGGTATCCGTGGCGTTAGGGCCCGGACCCCACCCGCATGGCCACCATGCTGCCACGTCGGGCGGTTCCGGAGCCGCCATCGGCAGCGCAGTTGTATCTGGAATCAGATCGCATGAATCCATTGGAGGGGCGGCGATTATGGGATCAATGGCGCCTATGGCGGGCATGGGTCCCCTTCCGCCGTTGAAATCGGATTTGAAAGGCGTGGCAAGCGGCAGCGTTAGCAGCGCGAGCGGAGCAGTGACCCACGGGTCATCTGGCGATGAGGGGGTGGAGCTCCGGTCGATCGCAGTGAAGTCTAGGAATAGCGATGGGGATATGGAGTGGGCGTTGGAGCAGCCGTCAGAGCGGGAGAGGGAGAAGGAGCGTGAGCGGCACCGGACGAGGGACGTCGTGGGAGCGCATGCGGCGTATTACAGCATAGAAAGCGCCCGCAATGTGCTCGTGGCGCTGTTTATGGCTAGCATTGGCCTCATCATGTCGCCCAGGTAAGAGCCAGCTGCGTCTGTCTGTCATGTAGTGTGGAGACGCCTGCCGCCGTGCTTGCGGGCTGCCGCACTCGCAAATGCTTTGCTGATAAAGCCCCTGAACTGCACTCTCATGCTCTCTTGCGCCCGCCATGCAATGCATGCATTACCCAGCAACGCTAACCGGCGCCCTGAACTGCGCTCTCCTGCCTTCTCTGAGCAGGTTCCTGTTTGAGCACCTGGGCGTGTTGACGATTGGAGTGGGGCTGGTAGTGCTGGTGAAGGGGGCGCTGGTGGCGGCGGTGGTGCGGGGCTTCTCAGTGGGGCTGCGCACGTCGGTGGCTGTGGGTGAGTCGTGTGTGTGACCCGTGGGTCAGTGGGGGTTTGAGCTGGGAAATATGCAACCTATGTGCGCTGTGCGCCGCACTTACGATCCCACATTCGTTTTTCATGTTATGAGGAGCTACGACTGGGTTTGTGTTGCGGGCGATGCGTTTCCTGGTCCAGCTGATGCTCCTGCTGGTGCTCCTGCCTCTACTGCTGCCCTAACCACCTGCTCGTCTGACTGCTGCCCCCACCACCTTGTGCGGCTCTCTGCAGGCCTCTCCATGGCGCATGTGGGCGAGTTCGCCTTTGTACTGCTGAGCCACGCCGTACAGACCGGAGTGTTGCCGCTACAGGTACGGAAGGGCTACCTGTGCACCACACCTATATTTTTACCGCACCTAATTTTTATTTTGTTGTCTGGCCTATGCCGACCTCTATGCAAATATGCAACATTGCTCTGCGGACGTTCCTCCTCGTGGCCATTTTCCGTGCAAGTTACAACCCTAAACCACCTTACACACGCGCCCTCTGTCGTGCCTACATGTGCAGGTGTACATGCTGTTGCTGGGTATCACGGCTCTCTCGCTGCTCACCACGCCCTTCATCGTGCTGCTCGCCATGCACTGGGTGCTGCCCAAGGACGCGCTGAAGGACGTGTTGGGGGCCGGAGGAGGGCTCTCGTCCGCAACCGGCTCGCAGTCGGCGCTGGCGCCCGCTGGAGCCCCGGCGAGGCGGATGCTGTAGCCCTGGCCGCCTTCCTGCCTGTGATACAGCAATCCAGGCGCATGCAGCATTCCAGGTGCTTGCAGCATTTCCCGTCCTCTTCACGAATACGCGCCGACAGGCGCATGCAGCAATTCCAGTCCTGTTTGTTAACGGCCGCCAACAGGCGCATGCAAGTATTGTTGGCTTGCATGCGAGCAGCATGGAAAGGCGAGAGGGAAGGAGTGTCGTGAGCACATGCGGGGGACGATTTTCTCCATCATTCCCGCATACACACCTTTGCATCATGTGCATTGCGGAATATCTTTGTGGATTCATGCCCCGTGTGCTTGGCATGTTGGCATGGGGTTGCACCTGCGGCCGTATTTAGTTGCCGTACTTGATGCATGGTATCCATTCTGCCGTACGGTATCCTGCCGGTGCTTCCTAAAGTATGGTATGAGGTGCGGAAGAGCTACGTGATTTGCGTAGGTCCGATCGTTAGCCGCATATGGTCCAAGGGTCGCGTATGGGCTTATCAGGTGTTGGGGATGCTAGTGGGGTTAGCTTATTGGGCTTCTTTGGTAGTTGCTTAGATAGCAGTTTGTCTATTGCACCATCGCGCGAGGCTATGGTTGCATGTTGCAGTGTTGGGGCACCGTTTCAAGTTGCTTTACTAGCATGTGCTTTGCATTTTGGTCATGGAACGCACTATTGAGCAGTGCTAGTTGTTGCCCTGCGAATGGTCTTGGGTACTGACTATATGGGCCGCTAAGCCATCCATTGTGTTATTTGCCTTTGGACCGAGCTGCTGACATCGTAGCGCTTAATGCCTCGCGCAGGCCTTTCACCCTGTGCTCGCCTCACCTAACAGACGAACGCGTTAGTGTCAATCGTAATGCAGTAGCAACGAAGTGTTTATGTCGTCCTTAGTGTAGTTGCTCCCAATGACAGTAGCTGGCGTGTTGGTCGGTGGTTCCGCTGGATGGATTGGTGGGGAGGAGGCGGCAGGTTGCGGACTCAATCGAACGTTGTACATATTTATGCAGTAGTTCGTAGTCGACAGGGAACGCGAAGGCCGCGTGAACCGTTATTGGTCCTTCACGTCTTAAAAGTTTCATTTCAGCTGGGTGTGGCTGTTAATGAGCATGTCCTTTGCCCCTGCAACCAATCCTCGGTGCCGCACCGCACCGTACAGCCCTCAATCCTCCGTACCGTAACAATCCTCAACTTACCTAATGTGATTGCAGAGTGGCGTTCAAGGCAGATTACGTAGTGGGGTGGGGTAACGTGGTGCATGGGGGGTGTACTGAGAATAAAGACGCTCTTGGCCACCTTACACAGCTTCAACTGCCCATACATAGCGCTTTGGATTACGTTAGAACAGCAACTCCAACGGCCCCCTCTTTGCGAACTCACAAGAAAGCATGGGCACGGTCGACAACCAAGAAGTGCAGTAAACGTTGCTGGACAGACCGGTAGACTGACGGGTACATGCTAAGCAACTCGTAAGACTTGCGTGTTAAGCAACTCCGGACTCGGGAATGTCAGCATGCTAGGCAACTCACTCATGCATGCGGGCCGTGGCAACGAGGGCGCAACCGTAAGACTCGCGCCTGACACGCCACGCATGTTCAACAGGCCCAACAGATCTTTCTCCATACCAGCCTTGCTCTCTGCTAATGCAAAACGGCTCTGGACCCCCGTGCACACTGTACAGGTAGATAACAAGGACGAATCTGCTCCTTTCTAGCTAGTGACAAAGCGGCCGGACCCATGGTTCATCAGCAAATGGGCAGAGTAGTAGGCCGGCAACGCTGTCTTCCTTGGGATCGCCGGCATGCATGCATGGGAGCATAACCGTAGGGCCTTCCTCAGCCGTACAACCAACAACGTGTGCTTAGGCATGCTCAGCTGCACTGTACGCATGCGTACACCCACTTCCCCCCTGGCGCAACTACCGAAACTACCGAATGCGCAACAACCGAATGCGCAACCCAGCCGAAATGCTGGAGCTTAGCCCTCCACGTCATCACACGCCTTTTCCAGATCGCTCCTCGGCAGCAGCGCCAGCTTGCCCCGCATGCCCACCATCGCCTCCACCTCCACTCGCCGCCGCCACACCAGCTTACGCAGCTCCTCCCGCTGCTCCCCGCTGCCGTACGAGGCCTCACCGTTGAACAGCTGCACGCTGACCAGCTCTCTGGCGCGCAGGGGAGCGGCCGAGCTGCTGGCAGGGTCCAGGCTGGACGCAAGCGGCGTCGGGAATGAGCCGCTGAAGGTACTGCGTGCGTAGCAAAGGCTAACCAGCACTGGCGCAGCAGCTGCAGCTGCTGTTGCTGCTGCTGTCGTTGTTCGTGAAACCGCTGGGCCTATCAGGCGCCGCGCGTGGGACATCAGCGGCTGGTGGCGCGTGAACGGCTGGTTAGCGTCTGCCGCTGCCGCTGGTATATCTCCGCTAACGCGGCGTTGCGCCCTGTTGCTGCTGTGCTGTGTCTGCGCCCACACCAGCCCCAGCAGCTGGTCCGCCTCCCGCTCCGAAACCAGCAGCACCTCGCCGCTCGGGAACAGCAGCAGCGCATCCACCGGGCGGAGGTACTCGTTCAGGGCGGTATCCAGCGGTACGGCAGCGGTGGCGTGCAGGAAGTTCGCCGTACACCATACCTTGGAGGACCAGCCAAGCCTCCGCAAGCTCTTGGGCTTCAGCTGCCCAGCTGCAGTCTTCAAGCGCTGCACCCTGGATCCCGAATCAATTTGCGCCAGCGATGTCGCAGTCACGGCCGTGCCGTACAACCAGTCGCTCTCGCTGGCCGCTTGAGCGCGTGGCAGCTGCCGCTCCACCTCTTCCTCCTCCTCCTCTTCCTCCTCGAGCTCCCGCTCGCACTCCTCATCGTCACCGCCTGCACCCCCACCGGCGATGACGGTGTGTCCCTTTCCGTACGACTTTCCCAGCCGTACAATCTCGTCCATGTGGCCCTTCATGTCGTTCGCCAGGCCGCCACCCTTGTGAGCGCAGCGCTTCAGCTGCTCCTTCCTTTTGGCAGCCACCACCTGACCCACGGGTCGCTCCGCCTTGTTGTCGCCGTAGAGGACACTCAGCTCCAACCGCTCGTCCAGCAGTGCCCGGTCCGGCACGCCATGTGCGGCTGCGAAGTGCAGCCCCTGCGTAGCCCACTGCGTCACGCCCCGCAGCGTCGCCTGCACGGTGTTGCTCATTACCCACCGCAGCACGTGGAGCGGCTGCGGCTCGGCTGGCTGTCGGGGCCCCTGCGGCAGGCTGCTGAGCAGGCGGATTTTGGCGGTGACGTCAGGTGTGGTCGTGAAGCGAAGCCGCTGGCCGCGGCCCAGCTGCCGCAGCCTGCCTGCCGCCTGCATGACCTTGTCCTTGCATATGCCGGGGCCTAGCGTGAGCAGCCCAACGGCGTCCCGCCTGAGCTGCAGGTCAGCGCCACGGCAGCGTGCGTCGTCGAAGATGACAAACGTGTCTCGCTCGGCGATGGGCGAGCTGTGGCGGGGCATGCGGCGGCCGCGACTGTCGGAAACCACCCAGCAGCGCAGGCCCTCGTCAAAGTAGCACACCCCCTGAAAGCGCGTGTTGTCCAGCCGCGAGAGGAGGTACTCCGCCGTTTCCCTGCGAAAAAGTAAAGGGATTTCTTATGGCGCAGACTTAAATTTGCTCAGGAGGCATGCTCGCAATGTGTGCTTCCAGCTCCTTACAAACCTCCAGACCGGAAGCTCACTGCGGTTTACACTATAGGGCATTGGGGCTTCTCTCGTGAACACGAATGCTGCCGAAGGCCGTGGCAGTGAATGTTGTTTGAAACCTACAAGCTCTCCCCACCTGTTGCTCGCCCCCGCCAGCAGCGCCCCGCAGTCCAGCAGCGCATCCACCCCCAGCTGCAGCGCCGAGTCCAGCAGCACCTGCCACACGGGCTGCTGCTGCTGCTGGGGGGCGGCCTGCAGCAGAGTGCGGGGAGTAGCGAGCATGCGGCTCAGGACAACAGGAGCTAGTATCAGCCAGTCATCACGCATGCCTTTAGCCCCTGCACCCTGTTAACAGGCAAGGTGAACGTTCTCGTCTCAGCCCGCAAACGTAATCGTCCCAGCCCGCAAACACCGTATATGCTTCCCTCACCTCGGATGGTTGCAGTGTGGTGTAGCCCAGCGTGTGATCCAGGATGACGGCCAGCATCTTGCCGTTGGTGGCGCGCAGTGAGTCGTCTTCCAGCTGCGCCTGGTGCACTTGCAGCGGCAGCAGCCGGTGGTTGTCGTTGGTGCCAGAGAAGCCCACCACCGCGCCAGCCGCATTGTCTGCCAGGTGCCAGGCGCTGGTCGCTAGGCGCTGCGAGAACTGCTTCATCTCAACGGGGTAGACGCAGTGGTTGAGCCAGAAGTCCACAACTGCCATGTTGTGGCTGAGGTACCGGTGCATGAGCGCCATCTGCTGCGAGTTGCTGGTGTCCACCTTGGCCACGATATCGAAGACCCGCAAGTCCTCTGGTTACATTTTGCAAAGGGTGGGGTTAACGCCATGCTTTCAACGATTCCGTTGTAACACAGTCAAATCCACGTTAAGGAACAACGTCAATAATAGATGGTAACGCATCAGGTCCTTGATGCCTCCGTGTGTATGTTAATGGCAGCACGGCCATCCATTTGACCCATGGGTCATCCGCTACATGTCAGACTGTACGACGACATAAATGGGAGTTCAGAGGATAAGCAGCAACGTACCGGTACCTACCTGCTGTTGTTTGTTTGGGCAGTGCAGCAACTAAAATAATGACCCATGGGTCCCTCTGTCTTCACGTCCGGGTTTTCAGGCTGGTATGAGGCCATGTACCGGTACCCACCTGCTGGGATGCCGTCACGCGACAGCTGCAGCCACTCTCCGTAGATGTGCTGCTGTGCGTTTGCGCCCATGCCCAGCAGCTTCCGCAGCGCCGCTTCAAACTCCGGCTGCGACAGGCCGTCGTAGTAGTACGACAGGTTAGTCAGCAGCAGCGCCACATCCGGCTGTGCGAACTCACTACGCTCTGAGGGCGTGTGGGCAGCACGGAAGGGCACGGCCATGCGCTTCGCTGCCGTAGGTCGCCTGCGAGTGGCAAGGGCGGGTAGCAGGCCATCACGGTTGGAGTTAGAGAGCGGGCTTTCGGTGGCAAATGCGACTAGCCAGCAGCTGCCATTACATGGTGAAGTGAGGCTACATGCATGCATGGGAGGCAGTAAGGCCTTGCGTATGGTAAGCCTTATTCAAACTCTTTGCTCCGCTGCTGGCCTGATGAGGAATACCCCTTTATTAACGTATACCTGCGCTTCCCACCTGTTCACGCCGTACTCCACGAGGTGTCGCTTCTGCAGGCAGTGCTGCAGCAGGTTGCACGCCAGCAGCCCCCGCAGCGCCAGAACCAGGGCCAGCTGGGCCTCCGACAGCTGCTCCTCGGCCGGCCCCACGGCGTCCGGCCCCAGGATATCCGTCGCCGCCTGAGCCTCGTCCGTGACGCACTGCAGTATGCGATCCTGCATGGGCGAGTCAGGGGTAGGGTGTGGAGCTAGATAGGCGTAGGTAGGTGCCGTTACAGAACGCTTAGGCGGCCCAATTTTGGAGGTTGCAAGGGGAGCATATGATGAAGAGGCATTATGTACCACACATGGGCTAGCTTCACTTCTCTGGCGGCCATTACACCCAGGTGAGCCAAAATAAGCAGCCGAAGCGACCCCACTCACCATACAGTCCAGCGCTACCACCCCGCCCATCAGCCTTACCTTTAGTGCGTGGTGCTTCAGCCACTTGAGCTCGTACGGCGGGTTGGCGATGAGCTTCCTAGCAAGAGCGCGTCGCAACTCTGGCACCGCTGCCTCGAGGGCCTCTCCGGGCAGCAGCCGTACACCGCAGAAGGCCCCAGGAGAGCGCCCGGGTGTGGGCTCGAACACAGCGGCAACCGCTGGAAGCAGCGGCGCAGCGGCAGTCGTCAAGAGCTGCGAGAGGGTGTGCAGCAGCGCCTGAACGGCGCCCGTGCGCTCCTGGATGGAGGGCAGGGCTGTACGGCTGCCGCAGGCATAGATGAGCTGGTACCTGGGGGAATG